AAATGTATTTATTTCTTCTGTTAACATTTTGTGTGCTTTGATGACCAAGATATTTCTATAATAACACAAAAAGATGTAATTTTAAAACTCACCTAATTTTTCAAACCTTCACTTATAATGGGTCCTGGTAACCTTTTTTTAATTCAGGGATTTTTGTAAAGGTTTGAGACTTGCAGATGAATCATGGCTGGGTAAATACCACATTTTAAAACATGGATAGACTGTGTTCCTTTTTCTTCCTGTAACACCCACCAGAACTGCCACTGGAGCATATTCTTTAAATTTATGCTGTTGGAGTTGGAATAGTTTCAGTTATATCCTGTGTTGATTCTTCAGCTCCTGCTGCTATTCACAATTCAGATTTTCTGAAACCATACTGCTTGTCCTTTACCGTTTTCAGAAGTAAGTGATGGGAACCCTAAGAGCTGGATTTGGCAGCAGAGGACTTGGAGAAGAGGAGAGTGACTCCTTAAAGGGCCCAGCTTTTCTGTCTGTGCTTTTTTGCAGCTGTCAAATAAAAGGGTGATTTTTGTAACAGTTTGTTTGCTTTGTTAGCGATGGATTTTGATGTAACAGGCTTTTTTAGTGCTCAACTTCTGTGCTTCTTGCCAGTTCATCCTTCCCATTTAGAGGCTTCAGCAGATCACCTAGTTTGCTGCCCCCACTATTTCTATACTGGTGAACGAGGTTAAAGTGAACATCAAGAACAGTCATAAAGGTGGAAGAAAATGAGGCAATACTGTGGATTGAAAGTTGAAGTGACAATAGTCAACTTCTTTTTCGTGGTCTTATAGTATATTTTCTTCTTTCTTTTAAAACCAGTTGAGGGTGGTTAACCTTTTTTCTTATTTCAGCTCCAGCTTTCTGAAGATAGGTGAGCCTGGGCCTTAAAATAGTGGTGACAGTCCTGGCATTTCACGGTGCAGGGCCTGAGCAGTCAGTCATTTAAGATTATACCTTTAGAAATGACTCTGGTTTGTACCATTCTTGAAGCTTCAGGATTATTATTTCTGTTCTTAGATTGATTGAACAGGATAGGGCCTTAAAGCCCATTATCATCTTAAAGTACTAATTAGAGCAGTGATTCTCAACCCTGATAATACATTAGAATCACTTGAGGAAACTTTAAAAAATATGAACGCAGGAGTTCTACTCTTTGACATCCTGATTTATTTGGTCCAGAGTGGAGCCTGAGCATTGGCATTTCTAGATACTTCCCGGGTAACAGTGTGTAGCCAACATCGAGAAACACTGGATTAAAGAGTCGGGAGAAACAGTTCTAAGGCCAGCTCTGTCACTCGCTCACTTAGTGACCTTTGAGCCTCAGTTGTTTGTGGAGTTGAGAGTAGGTGAATGAGGAGTCTCTTCTGGTTTGAAAACATTGATTTGTGAACCTGTTTCCTGCCTGCATTTATTTTTTTCCCAGGACTTTGAAATTCTGACGGGAGATCATCCCTCAGATGCCGTTCTCTCCCCATCGTAGTAAGATATCATGAGATATCTTTCCTTTTTCCCACTTCTGTGCTTCCTGAGATCTGGCTTACACCTTCCTCTCTGGTGATAACCCCAAAATAGCATCCTTATCAATGGGTTGGTTAATATTCTAGGGATTTGAACTGTACCTATCCTATAATTTTAAAATAATCTTATTTCAGTTGCAGCTCTGCCACTGGTCTCTGTTGTGTTATAAGAAAACATAAAGCAAACCCAAACGGGAACATTCTACAAAATTATTGGCCAGGACTCTTCGAAAGTATTAAGCTCAGGAGAAATAGAGGAAGACTCCTCCAGACTAGATAAGACTAAAAAAATATGACAATTAAATGCAGAATGGGATCCTGGATTGGACCCTGACCTGAAAAAAAGACTTTAGGACAATTGGCAAAACTGAAATACATTCTTTTTTTTCTTTTTTTTTTTAAGCAGAGGTCTTCTTAGAAGCCCACATGATTTAAATTTATTTATTTATTTATGGCTGTGTTGGGTCTTTGTTTCTGTGTGAGGGCTTTCTCTAGTTGTGGCAAGCGGGGGCCCCTCTTCACCGCGGTGCGCGGGCCTCTCACTATCGCAGCCTCTCGTTGCGGAGCACAGGCTCCAGACGCGCAGGCTCAGTAGTTGTGACGCATGGGCCCAGTTGCTCCGCGACATGTGGGATCTTCCGAGACCAGGGCTCGAACCCGTGTCCCCTGCCTTGGCAGGCAGATTCTCAACCACTGCGCCACCAGGGACGCCCTACTGCTTTTTATTTAAAGCTATTACAGTCAGAACGTATAAGAATGAGTTTGTCCCACTGGAAACATCAGGAAGTGTAGTTGCTTTTATATTAACTCTGTGACTAAGTTTTTTTTGTTTTTTGTTTTGAGTGAAACGAGTTTGATTTCACTTGCATACAGATCTAGCATAAAAGCTCCTGAGAGCTGACACAGTTACAAATCTGTTGCTGAGGTCGTTTTAGAAGATGCTAAAAATATACTGAGAAGCAGAAGCCCATGTGTACTTTAATTGGCTCAAGCCAGTGCCCTCAACTTTACAATTTTGCCTTTAATTGCCGAATTCAAGATGAAAATCAGTGGTAACAAAATCCAAAGGGTCTTTTTTTTTTCCTCCCTTTTTTCCTGTAATTTAGGAAGGCCATTTGGAAATAAATAAGGATTGTCTACAGGCCCCTGAGGATTCCCGAGATCCTTTCCATGAAATCCATGAAGTCAAAGCTATTCTTGTAATAATACTTAGGTGTTATTTACCCTTTTCACTGTGTTGGCATTTGCATGGCTGGTGCCTTAGTGTGAATTAAGGCAGTGGTGCCAAACTGTAAAAGTAGTCATTGTATTCTTCACCATCATGTGCTTCCAGGAAAAAAGGACAGTTTCACTTAGGACTGTCCTGCATGAAGCGCTAAAAATTTATTTCAGTAAACCTTGAACCTTGAGTTCAGGTCTTTTGAGTATTCTGTGTGATGAAATAGGAATTAGGCATAAAGTGCTTCTACTGCATAGCAACGTGTGACGGTTGACTTGAAAAAAAGCCCTTGCACAATTGTTTGACTTGGGAACACCATTTCTTTGTGAAAGAAAGATTGACAGACAGAACTATAGTTAATCAGACTTCAGTATTTGGGAGACATTTTATAAAACATGAACAAAGAACCTGTCACTTCAAGGGAAAAAATTTGACAGTAGATAAATTTCGACTTTAAAGTAGAAATTAGAGTGTTGGAAAACTTGTATTTCCCATCGTGAGCTTGATAGCTTCCCAATACTTAGAGATTTTTCTGATGAGATTGGGGGTGAAATTAATAACTGTGATTATTTGCTGCTGTATAATGAAATATGCCACCATAGAGAAGATCTGTATAACTCATTGAACCAATATTCTCCAAATGACCAGTGCATACATCACAAAATTATGCATGGGTAAAATATCCATTCAAACTAAGTGATAAATGAATGGATTTTAATGCAACCAAGTACAGAAAGTTTCTTGATATGGTTTCAGATTCCATATTGTACCTAACTTTTAAGAAACTACCATTTGTGGACTAAAAACAAAAAGAAAAACAACCATTTGTCTAGCTTTAATGTATCAAAGAAGAACATCCAGTTATATGAAAAAGCTATTAAAATACTCCTCCATTTTCCAATTTATATACGTGTATGCAAATGGATTTTCTTCTTACACTTCAGCTAAACAACATTCTACAACAGGTTGAATGCAGGAGCATGTGTGAGAATCCAGCTGTTTTTGTTTAAAGTAGACATTAAAGAGATTGGCAAAAATTAAAACAATGTCATCTTAATTTTTAAAAATAAGTAAAATAGGTAGATTTTTACTTTAAAATATTTATGTTAATATGAAATGCATTGATTTTCCTTTTATTAGTTGGGTCAAATGCTGCTGATAAGAAATGGGTGAGCACAAGAATGCCAAGTAAATTCCAGCATCTAGTGGTGGATGTAAGGTGTAGTAACTCAAACATCTGAGAAGGTCCTAAGGCTAATGATGACCTTCCTAATGTCATTAAGAAAAGGGAAGTCTAAATTTAAGTGCATTCTATGTCAGGCACAGGGACAGATGCTTTTACTTACAATGTTTTTTATAGTCCTCATATCTTCTGAACTAGAGGTTATTCTGAATTAGAAGTTATTCCATGTTAGAGATCAAGCAGTGTATACTTGGAGAGGCTAAAGAATAATCCCAAAGTCATACAGCTGGTGGTAATGTAGCCAGGATTCTAACCTAGTGTCTGAGTCCCGATACCTGTTACTGGTCACTTCCTTCATGGGTGTATATATACAATAGAATTTAAATGTGTACATGGCACACACGTTTAGAACTGTTTCATTTTCTGAAAATGGTTAAAATTTTGAACAAAGGTCCTAATTATCTGAGAACTGTTTTAATAAGGAAACTAATCAAATAAGTTCCCACTGGTCAGGGATGGAAGAATATGTGCATTAAAAAGCATAACAACTGTAGTGCTTTGAACTGCAAAGAATTGATATGAAAAATTATGGTTAATATTTTTGTGTGACATAGTGATTTTTTTAAAAAGTTTGTAAAGATATACGCTAAAATACGCTAAAATATTATATGTGAAATGTATGTGCAGGATTTGTTTAGAAATTGTTTAGAGCAACTAAATGGGGTAGGGACTGGGGGAAGGCGAGTGGGTTGAGGTTGTGTATGAAACAAGATCAGGTATGTATCAATATTTGTTTGCAGCTGGGTGATGGATACATGGGTTCATTAAACTGCTGTCTCTAATCTGAAAATTTTCATAGTAAAAGTTTTTTAAAAATCTATTTTTATACATCTTCTTGGGACCATTATTATAAATTATTTACTAATTCATTTCTGTGGTAAATATTATCACTAGTGGACATTTGTCCTCACATCAAATCACTTTTTAAATTAAGGCTGTTTCTTTGTGTTCTGTCCAACAGCCTGGCACCAACATCTGTTCGCTTTCCCTTCCTCTTTTCTCAGCTCTCTCTTTCCAGAAGAGAGTAGTAGTGAATTGTATTCAGACTGACAACCTGGAACTAAAGAAGCTCATGTATCTCTACTTGATGAACTGTGCCAAGAGCCAGCCAGACATGGCCATCGTGGCTGTCAACAGCTTTGTGAAGGTAACTTTTTCCCAGGGACTCAAGAACAGTCTCTTCTACCTCAGAAAACCTTTTCAGAAGTGTCTCTTGATATGGTTAGTGTCTGCATTGCAAATAAGCAACCTCTGTTCCAAAAGAGGGCCTCTAGAGAAGTATTGGACATTGAGTAGGAATATTCATGATTTAAGCATTCTGTATGCCAGAGTTAGTCATCCAATTCAGACCATAGGGTGAGCCTTCTGTCAGCTGGTCTTGGTGCATCCTTGCCAGGTGGGAGAAGAAAGCCAGGTGAAACCTCACTGTTTTATCTTCCAAGGCTGACAAAGGTTGGGCATATCATTGTAGTGTCAGTGACCTGGGGTTTTACCTATTTTATCTTTGTAGAAATTATGCTTATGGTTCAGACGTAGTGGAAACTACAGGAGCTACCTTTTAATTTTGTTTTATTGAATAGGTCTTACAATAGTTGATTAACTTTTTTGTTATTGTGGAAATTTTCAAACATATTCAGGTTGAGGGAACAGTATAATAAATTCCTAAATATCGATACCTCGTAGTTTCAGTAGTTACCAACCTATGGCCAGTTTTGTTTAACTTAAAGTCTCCATACATGCTTTCCTGACCCCCACCTCCTCTCCTACTGGATGATTTTAAAGCAAATCCCAAACATCTTAAGAATGAAAAAATCGTTTAATCAGCTGATCATTAAAGAAAGTCCTTAATATTATTGGATATCCAGTCAGAATTCTCCTATCATTAGATTTGATGAACACAGTAATAAGGTTGTTCTTATTAGGGTTTTTGTTTTGTTTTGTTTTGTTTACTTCTTTTTCCTCTGCCTGGAATTTAGTCTACATTAAAAGCAAAAATCAGACAGCATTTCTAAAATTAGCTTCTATTAAATTGTTTTGGAAAATAAACATGCTTTCTTCCTTCTCATGGAATTTTTGTTCTTTTTCTGTGTTTAGCTACAATGTACAAGATCATTATAACATTTCATTCTTTCTGTCTGGTGATTCATAGATGGATGATATCATTGGAAAGAATTTAGTTTACATTTTTTGGAAGTTAGCATGTGCATAGGTTTATAATGTTTAAAGAGATTTTTTAATATAGGGCAATTTAAGGGGTGTTCCTTCTTGGTAAGTGTTCTATTTGTACTGTATTTGGAGGCACTTGCTAGGAAAGGAGAATGTATGTTAATCAGGATTTCAGAGGGCCCTCTCTGCTGCTTCGCGCAAGGAACTTATGTTGGGCCCAAACCAGCTTCTAGATTCTCCTTTGTTTTCGTGGCTGTAGGCCCCAGATATCCAGCCCTCTTTTCTCCCTGCTTAATATTTGTGGAGTGGGACATATCTTTCCACTTCCTGATTTTTTGTTGTTGTTGTTGTTTTTGCGGTACGCGGGCCTCTCATCGCTGTGGCCTCTCCCGTTGCGGAGCACAGGCTCCGGACGCGCAGGCTCAGCGGCCATGGCTCACGGGCCCAGCCGCTCCGCGGCATGTGGGATCTTCCCGGACCGGGACACGAACCTGTGTCCCCTGCATCGGCAGGCGGACTCTCAACCACTGCGCCACCAGGGAAGCCCCAATTTCTGATTTTATCCTGTACCAGAATACAAGCCCAAAGCCCTTTTCTGCTTTTAATGCAGGTCCAACAATGGCCATGGGGATGGTAACACCAGCTATCAGCTCTGGAATGAATCCTATAGGGCATTTCTTCATTGTGTATGTAAAGCAGTTAAATGAATTCCTAGCCTAAACTCTTAAATAGGCAACTGTTGTACTTAGGAAAGGAATCATATGTGAGATGTGGGTTCTGATGTGGAATGAAACTGGAAGCCTACGTTAATTAAATATTCTTTTGTTGCTTATTTAAACCAGACTGTTTAGTTTTCTGGTTTATGTACACCTGTAGTTGTCAATGATTGTTTTTTATAGGACTGTGAAGATCCCAATCCTCTGATTCGGGCCTTGACAGTCAGAACCATGGGGTGCATCCAGGTGGACAAGATTACAGAATATCTCTGTGAGCCCCTCCGCAAGTGCTTAAAGGATGAAGATCCCTATGTTCGGAAGATAGCAGCAGTGTGTGTGGCAAAACTCCATGACATCAGTGCCCAAATGGTGGAAGATCAGGGATTTCTGGACTCTCTGCGGGATCTCATAGCAGATTCAAATCCAATGGTAATATGTTTCTGCGTTTATAAGAGAGCAGTACTTAAAATGGGTCCCTTTAAAAAGCATGTTTAAAATAAATTTTATCTTTGGGACATTAAGCCATAGGTTAGCTGTGTGAGGCATGACTTCTGTGTGTCCCACAGATTGTCTGTCTCACACCCTACATGTTTCTGAGCTGAAAACCAAGTACTAAAATACAAGGGTGTTTTTTTTTTTAATTGAAGTATAGTTGATTTACAGTATTGTGTTAGTTTCACACGTACAGCAAAGTGATTCTGTTTTTTATATATATGTATTTTCAGACTATTTTCCATTATAGATTATTACACGATATTGAATATTGTCCCCGTGTTATACAGTAAATCCTGTTGCTTTTCTGTTTTATTTTTTAATTTTTCTAGATTAATTTTTTTTGTGTGTGTGCGGTACGCGGGCGTCTCACTGTTGTGGCCTCTCCCGTTGCGGAGCACAGGCTCCAGACGCGCAGGCTCAGCGGCCATGGCTCACGGGCCTAGCCGCTCCGCGGCGTGTGGGATCTTCCCGGACTAGGGCACGAACCCGTGTCCACTGCATCGGCAGGCGGACTCTCAACCACTGCGCCAGCAGGGAAGCCCAATATTTTTATTTTTTATGAAAAATTTTTTAAAATTCTTTTTCCTTATAGGTTATTATAAAATATTGAGTATAGTTCTCTGTGCTATACAGTAGGTCCTTGTTAGTTCCCGTGTCCCCTGCATCGGCAGGCGGACTCTCAACCACTGCACCACCAGGGAAGCCCAATATTGTTATTTTTTATTAAAAATTTTTTTCCTTATAGGTTATTATAAAATATTGAGTATAGTTCTCTGTGCTATACAGTAGGTCCCTGTTGGTTATCTCTCTTATATATAGTAGTGTGTATATGTTAACTTTAGTTAAAACTGACTTTCCGTGAAATACTATTTGAAAGAGGAAAGATAGTTTGAAGTAAAAAAATTCTCACTGTTAAGTCCTAGGTTAACCTCCCTGAGTCTGTTTCCTCTTCTGTAGAGTGAGAGGTACCAACTTAGAGAGTTGTTAGGAGTATTAATTGAGCTCTTGCATAAAAAACATCTGTGAAAGTGCCTGGCTTATGAGAGTTCATGAAATGATGGCTGCTGCTGCCGTGATTATGAAGTAGACATTAGGCAAAGGTTAGCATTATTGCTACAATATTAATTTAGAGGGTTCTGACCCCTTTGATAGCTATACAGGTTCATATGGTAAGATCTTTCTGAGGGAATTAAAGCTAAACTTATTTCCAGACACAGATTTATTAGTCCATTATTTTGAAAGTAAACGTATTCAGAATGAGGAAGCACCTTGGCCCGAGAGGAAAATAGCTCCTATGATTTCTTCACAAACAATCAGAGTTTTGAAAATTCTGTCTCACTAAATTGATACTTGCAAGAAAGATACACTTCTGAGTGATAGTGATAATTCTCTAGCTTTTTCCCATGCATTAGGATTTTCCCTCCTTACTACAGTTTTCCTTTTCTCTCTTAGAGGCATTTTGAGGTATTCCAACTTCAGTTAATGTTTACACCAGAATCTGCCACTCCAGAGACTCTCTTGACAGCCCCACCACATGTACTTTGCTTTTTGTTTGTGAGCTCAGGTCTCCTAAATCCTTTGGCTCAGCGCCTTAGCCCCTTTGATCTTGTCTTCTAAGCCTTCTGAGTTCTACCATCACTCTGAGAACTGCCCCTGGGAATGCCCTTCTTCCATTGCTCTGTCCTGTCTGCCAAAGCACAGACTACTGAATTAGTTAAAAAAACAAAACAAAAAAACCCCCAGAAACATATTTTCGTTTGTTGAGGGTTTTTCTGCACAAGCAGCATGCTCTCAGAACTTGGCCCGGTATGGCCTTTAGCGACGGTTCTAGTTAAACTGCCAGCTTCTTTTTTTTTTTTTTGTGCTGTACGCGGGCCTCTCACTGCTGTGGCCTCTCCCGTTGCGGAGCACAGGCTCCGGATTCGCAGGCTCAGCGGCCATGGCTCACGGGCCCAGCCGCTCCGCGGCATGTGGGATCTTCCCAGACCGGGGCACGAACCTGTGTCCCCTGAATCGGCAGGCAGACTCTCAACCACTGCGCCACCAGGGAAGCCCTGCCAGCTTCTTTTAATATGAACTTATTTTGGAAAGCTGTTTTATGAAAAATAACATTTTTTTTCTCAGAAAAAGTATGTATTTTAACCATGTGCTAGCCAGCATGTAGAAGCCACATGAGATTATGACAGTGGTTCTCAACTGGGGGCGATTTTGCTTCCTGGGAGACAGTTGGCCTTGTCAGGAAACACTTTTGGTTGTCACAACTGATGGGAAGGTTGCTACTGGCATCTAGTAGGTAGAGTTCAAGGATACTTTAAACATCCTGCAGTGCACAGGGAGCCCCCTACAACAACATGAAGGACTAATTTGTTATAAAAACTTAAATAATGCCTGACATATAGTAAATGCTTAATAAATGACAGCTGTTCTTGAGACAGATCTAACGTGACGTACTTTCTGATTATTGTAATTTCTATTTAGGCTTTAGAAGGTTTGTGGTGGTTTGCTGTCAGTGTGAGATGATAAATGCTGAAAAACTGAAGTCTCTCTAGATCACTTTGTAAATTTGAGAAAGATTTTTGTCAGAATATGTTTGTTGTCCTCATGGGCAATGTTAAATCATCTATTAATGACCTCATTTAACTTAGTACTTTAATTATATGAATTCTGTTATCCCTAAATATATATCAATAAGTAGAAGAAGAGTTATAAAATTAAAATATTATACAGAAGCGAAATTAGAAATGCGTGAAGCTCTTCATGCCCGGTGTCCATAAAGGAGTACCAGAGCTGGTAGAATTTTAGCCATGTGTGAGAGTGTCAGTATGTGGTAGGCACTGGGTAAGAATGATGTAGGAGGTAACATGTTCACTCAGTCTGTGTCTGGATGCCCCAAGTAGGTAATGTTGTACTTGGTAGTAAAAGATGAGTTGCTGGTAATTTCTGCAGGATCAGAGTGTTGAGTAAGTGGAATCATTGGAAGCTGCTCTGTTATAAGGGCAAGTGCCCATCTCAGTGCTTTTCGGTTTTTAAATTCTTGCAGAGGAAGGAGACAATTTTTGTTTTCCTTTATGATAAACTTTGTGGAGATCTTTTTATGTGTATTCTCACCTTAGGAATTTTAATCATCAGTTTTCATTTTATCAGTTATTACTAACTTAGGTGTTTTTTTTTTTAATCTCATTTTGGGGGCGGGTTTTTAGATATAGAGAAAAGTTGCAAGGACCGTACAGAAAGTTCTCATATACCTATCTTCACACAGTTTTACTTAATGTTAACATCTTACATAACCATGGTACCTTTTTATTTATTTATTGGCATTGGTACATCACTATAAACTGAAGTACAGACTTTATTTCACCTGTTTCAACACAAATATCCTTTTGCTAGTCCAGGATTCAATCCAGCATACCACATTGCGTTTAATCACTTCCTTTTATAAAGAGTTGACTCACTCTTTATGAAAGTATCTCAAAAACAGAAAAGTGCTTTGTAACTGTGAATTTTTTTTTCGCTCCAGTACTAACACATGAGGGTTAAAACTCAGGCTCTGAAACCAACCAGACTTGGATTTGTATCCTGGTCTGCCATCCGGGGCACGAACCCGTGTCCCCTGCATCGGCAGGCGGACTCCCAACCACTGCGCCACCCGGGAAGCCCCAGGCCTTGAGTTTGTATTCAAGCATTTTCCCTTTCCAGCTTTGTTGGCTAAGCAAGTCACTGAATTTCTCTAATCCTATTTATAAATTCATTTTTAAAGCCTATTTCCTTATCTGTAATAGGTGGATTTTGATAGCAACTACCTTAGAGTTGCTGGGAAGGTAAATGGCATAGTAAGTGTTCAGTAAGCTTTAGCTATTATTGTCTTTTATCTCTTTGTCCAATTCTATTAGGTATAGTATAAAGTAAGTCAAAACACAAATTGCTTACATTAAAAAAAATTCAGCAGACTCCAAGGGTCCGCAATGAACTGTCAGATTGAAGAGAAAAATTTGTGTAGTATTGAGTGTGATTTTACACACACACATGCACGTGCACGCATACTTCTGTATGTATGTATATGTTGTGTTTAATATCGGTATCTGTAAAGTATACATATTATATTAGGTCTACAGGGGGTAGGGGTGGGATGGGGAGGAGGAATGTTTCATTGCAGTCTTCCAAAGAACAGAATTTACCATATTTGGGAGGCAAGATGAATTAAGAAAAAAATTTCTTTTGACGCTATGGGATATGTTCCTTTGTAGCCTAGATGCCAGCTCTTTGTAAATCAACCAGTGTGCTGAGAAAACTCACTTAAACCCTATTTATAAATCCATTTTTAAAGCAAAAGTTCCTTTAGAAATCCCTTTCTTTCTTGGGAACTCCAGTTTTTCTGAGATTATAATTAAAAGGCCATTGTTCTTTTCATGGCAGTGTTTCCTAAAAGAAATGCCAGTTTTCTAGGGGGGAAAATGTTATGCATGTTAGTCTTAGTTCAGATTCAAAGTGATGGTACAAGAGAAAGAGACATAACCTTTGTTTTAATACACTAGTAAACCAGGGCAGTTACTGCAAGAGTCAGATTTTTTCTTTTGATAATGAATTATTGTTTGGAGAAGGCCCTCTGGGAAGAGGAAGTAAATCATGTTTCAATCCATTATTTTTAAAGTTTATTTTTTAAAACATAATATATGTACTACATTCTATACAAAACTCCAAAGAAGCACAGAGACCGGTGAGTTGTCCTGTATACCCCAGCTACCCAGCTGCTGTCTTGAAGTCAGTCTTTGCCTGCTTGAGATTCGATGCTCATTTTGAGTTTCCATTAGAGTGAGAGAAGCATGGCTTACTGACCAGGAGAACTCTAAGCAGCTCTTTATGGGCCCACCTCAGTATATTTCTGAAAACTTAGCACTATGAATGTGAAGATTAGGAGATGAAAGTGGAAAGGTAGAATAGAAGGAATTTTAGAGGAATAGCAGTAGAGTTTTGTTATTGGGGGTGTATCTCCTCTGGCCAGTCATTGGCTCAGTGACCATTTGGCAGTGATCTTTTTTCCCCATGCAGACTTTTCTAAACATAATCATATAATCTGATCTCTCTGGATCTTTTAATTAGTTTTACTTTTCCCTGTTTCTTTTCTTGTTTTAATGTGATAATAAGTGAAAATTGCCTGTTTTACCACCAGAACATATACTTCATTAGCTGCATTATGTACTTGGTTTAATTTCCAGTTACCTGTGATGTTAGCAGAGGAGTTCTAATTGTTCATTCTGTTCAACATTTCCTGTTAACAGACCTCATATTTAATTTTTTTTAACATTAAAAAAAATTGACTGGCAGAAATGGTAAGTTGTGACAGGACATTTGTTTTGGACGAACTGGTAACCAAGGCTGGGCATGTGTTGGCAGCAAGAGAGGAAAATGGGCATTTGTTCTTCCAGTGTGACATTTTGATCCTTTATCCTGTAATCCAGTGTATTAAGTGTATTATACAGGGGAAACACAGTACCTTTTCCCTGCATGTAAAGCACTGAGATGATGGAGATTATTGTTTCACTTTTCATGCCTTTTAATTTTTACTAAAGGCCATGCTTGATGGTGTGGTTGGCAAACAAAAATTAAGTCAGGAAAGAACCTCATGCATGCTATCATGTGATAGGTGAACTAGATAATCCTTCTCGATTTGTCTTAATAACAATAAAATATTATATCCATAATCATACTTACCAAGTGAACCTTTGATTTTTTTTCATCTTGGAATTTTTTGTCCGGATCACTAAGTTATAACTGAAGGTGATTCCATTTGTGGCATCATTATCTTAGTTAATGGATACTGTCATGAATGTATTATTTGATTTAAAAAAACCATATTCTCTAGAATTTATCTTCTAGGTAAAATCATATACTGGGATAATCTGCAGAGTACCCAAGTTATATGGATATTAAAATCAATAGCTAAACTGTAACCATTATGTTTCTTCTCTTGCTAGCAAAAGGATAATCATACAACTCTTAGTTTCTCAAGCTTTTAACGGGGACTTCAGTCAGAACTAAAAATGAGTTGACATTTTTGAGAATCTTTTCAATATACATAATTAATGAAGCTGCTACCTATTGCATCTCATTTATGCTTACAGAATATTTATATATAGCCTTACTGTGCTAATATTTAGCGACAGCTGAGAGCCTCACTGCAAAATGTGGTTTTAAATTCATTTGTACAGAGCTATAGTTTTTTGTCTGTTTTGTTTATTTTTGGGTGTTTTTATAATCTTAAAATTACTTTAAACATTCATTGGTTGTAGATTTCTTAGTTAAATTACACATAATCTATAATTGTGATAAAGTGTCCACTTTTTTTTCTTGCAGCTAGTATGGATTTCTGGGTCTGTTAAGTCAGGATACAAGTGTACTTTCTTATATTTGGTAGCAGTTTTTCATTTATCATACTGCCTGAGTTAAGGATACATTTGAGGTACCATATTTCATTGATTCTAAGATGCATTATTATTTCCTGTATTACGTAGAAAGAAAAATACCTCCTATTAAACTGACATGCCGTTGATTATTAAATATATCCCAACTTCAGAGATGTTAATATGAAAAACTGTGCAACTGAGTCTTGATGAATTATGGTAATATTACCACCTTAACTTTGTATAAGGCTTTGTAGAAAGCACTTATACATAAGTCATCTGATTTTATCCTCAAACTAAAGCTAATCTGTGAGGTGGATTAAATTATCCCATTTTCAGATGATGAAATTGAATTTCACGGAGATTATGTGCTTTCCCAACATCATGTTACAGTGAACTATGGTTTCAAGGTCACATTTTCTTACTCTGAGACTTAAGGTGTGATTGACACCTGAAGTATCACCTCCCCACCCCCCAGTACATGCACACCCATATACCTATAAAATTGTTTGGCCTAGATTTTTCTTTCCATTGCCTAATGTACATGTTTCATATTTAAACTTCACTGTTTTGTGTTTTTTGTTTTGTTATGGCTGCGAGGCATGTGGGATCTTAGTTCTCCAACCAGGGATCGAACCCATGCCCCCCTGCAGTGGAAGCACGAGTCTTAACCACTGGACCGCCAGGGAAGTCCCTAACCTTCACTTCTTTTACAGCTGTTCATGTGTCTTAATTCTACTGATAGTGTTGACTACTATTAAAATTATTATTGTTTTAATAGTAAATCATGAGGGACTCTCTGCTAATATGTGAATTGTTTTAATTCTGTGTTGCCTGACCATGAGGAAGCTATACATGCCATCTTTGGTGGTTTATTATACATTTTGAAAGCAGCATATCTCTTTCTAGCTGACTGCGTAAAATGTTCAGGAATGGTTATGGGTTGAGATCTGTGAAGTGATCCGGAGAAATAGTTGTACTGTTCTTGACAAATCAAGGTCATATCTGCTTCTTTCCCAGGTGGTGGCTAATGCTGTAGCAGCATTATCTGAAATCAGTGAATCTCACCCAAACAGCAACTTACTCAATCTGAATCCACAGAACATTAATAAGCTACTGACAGCCCTGAGTGAGTGCACCGAAAGGGGCCAGATTTTCATCCTGGACTGCCTGTCTAATTACAACCCTAAAGATGACTGGGAGGCTCAGAGGTCAGTCTGTTTTTCTGGATAGTATCTAGGAGTCTTGCCTGGTTCAATAATTTCTAGTAAGTCTGTATTAGAATAAGGGTCTGTTACGTTGAGAAAATCAGTGGCTTATGGGATATATATTGCTATCCTGTGGTATTTTCTCAATGTATTTAGGAACATTTTAGGTGGTAGAGTAAACCATGCAAAAAATAGCTCTTCTAAGAGGAGATGTGTATTTTTCATTTCTTCTTTGAACAGTATAGTTAAAACCCTCTGAAAAAACGCTCCCTCATCATGGTCTCACATCTCCCATACAGTAATTCCTAGACATTTGGCAAACAAAGGGTTTTTGAGTGTCTCTCACTGTAGTAACAAAATTTTCGTTCTTTTAGATACATAGTAAGTGGCTTGATACTAGTTATTGAGCTGCCTTATACCTATAATTAGTACTAGAGAAACTAACTGTGTTGGAGCCAGCAAAATGAATGTCTTCCGTTAGATATAGGAATCACATCATTCTGAATTTGGAGAAGATTTTGGAAGGCACACCTGGATTGTTCTGCTCAGCTCTCTACCACTTTAGTGTTGCAGATTTTCTTTGACTCTCAGATACTGACTACTAAATTTCATATACACATACATACATTTTAGTTTACAGAATTGGAGGTATCATCAGTTTTTATTGAGCATTTTGTGTATATAGGCCCTGTACTAGGCAAAATAATTCTGAAGAATTGTTGGCTCTTCATTTTATTTTATTTTTTTTTATTATTATGTTTTTTTTTGCGGTACGTGGGCCTCTCATCGCTGTGGCCTCTCCCGTTGCGGAGCACAGGCTCAGCGGCCATGGCTCACGGGCCCAGCCGCTCTGCGGCATGTGGGATCTTCCCGGACCGGGGCACGAACCCGTGTCCCCTGCATCGGTAGGCGGACTCTCAACCACTGTGCTACCAGGGAAGCCCTGGCTCTTCATTTTAATTATGGTAGATAGGAACCTTCCTTGCCCGGCTAAAGCTCGAGCTACTATAATGTAAGTGCTCTTCACTTGTCTGGGAAATTGTTCCCTCTGGATTTAACCGAAGCTCACACTGCTAGTTTCTTTCCATCACTGAAAGTACAAATATCTTCTGGAAAGAACTTTACATACAATTTTATTTTCTCTTGGTCATTGACATCTCACACTTACTCATTCACTCAGCAAATATTTATTGAGCCCATGCTGTATGCCAAGGCATTGTTCTAGGCTCTGAGGATATAGCAGTGGACAGACAAAACTCATAGCTCTTATGGAACACTTATTCTGAGGGATCGGGCAGAAGTATATAAAATATGTATACGTAATACAGCATATAATAGGTCAGATGATGATAAGTGCTAACAAGAAAGATAAAGTAAGGAGGAGATCTAACAAATGCTGGGTGGTCAGGAAAGGTCTCCCTGAGAAGGTAGCATTTGTATAAATACCTAAAGGAGGTCAGGGAGTCAGCCAAGTAGATACTGGAGGAAGGGAGAAAAACACAGCTTACTTACCTTGTGTCCTTAACTGAGTCAGCTAGCCACTCACGTTGCCTAAGAGCTATCAAAATTAGCTTAATTTCTGAAGAACCCTCAATGGATAACTAAATACTCTATATTTTATGAGACATTTAAGTGTAGGTGGCAGGGACTAGGAGAAGGGGATGAGGTTGAGAGAGCATTGCAGTGGTATTGTGTTGTTAAACACAAACAAACAAACAAACACCCTTCCCGAGATTCCCTTATTATGCTGAATGCAAGAGGTTGGGTGGTTTTCCCTGTCACCCCATCTCCTTCTGCATCTTACAGTGAAACTTCAGCCACAGTTGGTTGATATCTCTCACTATGAAATAACTCTCAGAATGCTTAATTTGACTTCCTATAGGCTGAGGAGAAATGGGCTGTGAGGCAGGGAGCCCTTACATAATATGGGGAGACAGAGAGGACTATAAAATAGGAAGGTAAATGGTGTGAGCTTCAGGTGTTTGGGGTATTGGCTAGTTCCCTTCCAGTTTGAACATCGCTTATTGCTGGTTTCCTAAAGTCTTCTGATGTCCCTGCTCTGTTTGTAGTTTGCTGGGACTGAGGCGTCCGCAGTGTTGGATCCCAAATTTACCTATGTATGGAGTTCTGACTTTTCTAACTGATTTTCTAATTTCTTTATACCTGGGCCATGGGAACCTCTGACAACATTACCTTATAGATTGGATTGAGCAAAGAAATTATAATTTAAGGTACTAATTTTCATTTTCTGTCCTCAGTATCTGTGAGCGGGTAACTCCTCAGCTATCTCACGCCAACTCAGCAGTGGTGCTTTCAGCAGTAAAAGTCCTAATGAAATTTCTAGAGTTGTTACTTACCCAAGGACTCTGACTACTACAATGTGCTGCTGAAGAAGTTGGCCCCTCCACTTGTCACTTTGCTGTCTGGGGAGCCAGAGGTGCAGTACGTCGCCCTGAGGAACATCAACCTAATCGCCCAGAAAAGGTTGGGAAAAAATGAATTGGTGATTAAAGTGTTTGTAATTGTGAATTAAACTTAATAACATCATCATTAAAGAGGACTGTGTTAAAACTCTGTTTAATGTATGGAAATGAAAATACTGTATGGTAGAGCAACTTGCCCAGGGTCAGGAGGCTAACAGTTGATTTTAGGGTGTTCCTACAATGAATGCCTGGTGTTGCTCTACAATTTAGTTTCTTTTCTGAAGGAACTCTTAGTTGTATGATAGCTAATGTCTGCTTAATATGGTTCAGGCTGTAATTTAGATCAGGTGGTTGTTCTTCCAGTGGTTCTTCTTGGCAATATATACTTTATTCCTTAACAAGGATAAAAATAGTCTGCCAGATGGATCTGGTTAGAGGGGTGTAGAGGAAGTTTATGAGCTTTTTCCCCTGGAGTGGAGCGTGTGAATGGAGAGCAGAGAAGCACAGGTTAGGTATTAATGCAGACTCAGAAGGATATATCAGTAGATGCCTCACCTTCCTTATCTTGTGTTTCTGTGTACCACAGGCCTGAAATCTTGAAGCAGGAGATCAAAGTTTTCTTTGTGAAGTACAATGATCCCATCTATGTGAAACTAGAGAAATTGGACATCATGATTCATTTGGCATCCCAAGCCAGCATTGCTCAGGTCAGACTTAAAGTAGATTCAAGTTAAGATCTAGTAACTATGATCTTAAGATCTGGCCTTCAGAAAAACCTAGGCCATGAAATTGCTGTTGGAGAATCCTTAAT